TCGCAGGTATCATACAACTTTTACAAGGTGAACATATGTATGGCACGTAAAGAGGATGAATAGTCATATTCCGTTTGCGGTTCGTCGCTCGCAGCCCAACTACCCCAAAAGAATAGAATAGCTTTTCTTGCATACAAGCAACCTTCGCGATGAGTTTTTTTGTTTCCTCCAAACCTTGTTTGTTCCTTTTGAAGTTGCATCCTTTGACTTTGCGAAACCTGGAGAAGAGACCCTTCCTCAACTTCTTGCAAAGGGCCTCGTTGTGACTAAAGGGTGRCTGCTTGGGAGACCGTTTGGTCTTGGTCACAATTTGGGTAGGAACCCAAGAAGGAGCAGGGGTAGGCACAGGACTAGACGAAGGAGCGGTAGAAGGATCGCGGRTTCTGTTTGATGTCGTCGTCACTCATATGACGGAAACAGTGGTCGTAGGGATATTTTGATGGAGCATTGGACRGCTGGTCAGTCATAACATAGACATTGTCGCAGTCGTGGTAGTAGCAGTCCCGGTAGAAGTCAATGTCGAATTCTCAACCAGGCTTGTACTGGCCCTTCTTGGGACCATATTGATACTGACAATGATTGTATTCGAGCCATTTCATCAGTTTTCTGGAGGCACCTCGGAGCGATCCCTTCTTTTCGCTAGACTTGACAAGATCGCAGTGGATGGCCACGTATCGCGTAATGAGACCACTTCCAATCTCTTTGCTAATCATGTTAAAGATATCTCGGATAGTATCTTCCAAAAAAGGTAGACTCGTCCTCAGTAAGTGGCTCTATCAGGTCGAGACCAACGAGAGAGATAGAACCACGTTTGGCAKAGTGAAGGGATATAATATCGAATGGTGGTGATGCATCACTTGGAGACTCAATATTCTTTTTTCCCTAGAGAAGACGAGGCTTAGCAGAAGCATAGAAATGGATATTGCAAGAGAAGTTGATAGTAGGAAGTGCTTGCGTGTAGACAGCCGAGATAGATGTCGAGAACTTCATGGTAGTGTCGAAGTATATTGCTCGATTTGATGTGTTGAATGGCAAACGTTTGTGACAGAAACGGAACAATTCGTCCCCCCCCCCCATATAATCAACGAAGCAGCAGCGACGCTATTGAGGAAAAACACGCAAAAATGGCAACGCTCCAATTTTTGGCCTATTCTTGGTCTTCGCGTGTTGCAACAATAATGGACGACATTCAGCTCACCCCACACTGWACGCCTATCCTCGTTCCTCGCAAGATTCAATGCGACTCGAAGGATATAGTAATACTAGTGGTCTGGACATTGCCATTAACATCGCAACTATCTCGATCAATCTCTTTTTTGAGCGGAGAGAAAACYCATGCTCTGGATCACATTGCCGTCGCCTCGCACTATCCCCATGGTCTATTTTGTAATGCCAAACATTCCTGTTTTTGTCCTATCGTTGACCTCCAATCTTCTGCGCATATACATTCCTTTACCTTCTGCTCCGTTTCGAGCATGTTGTCATATACCAACCATGGATATCGTTCAGGCATGGCTTTCACGATCCAAGGAATGTTTGAGAGCGCAAAATTGACCGTGGATTTGTTTACGAAAGCCTCTCTAATGTTGGGAATTGATTTGCACTTGAACCCAATCTTTCGGAGTTCAAGGTAGGTCAGATTTTTGGTCAGAGCTTTGTTAAGAAACTCGGAATCGAATTCTTTCAAGAAGTTTGGATCATCGTTGGTGGAYATTGATTTGAGGACTGTGCTCAGTGGGTGTCCGGGACTTGAGAAGTGCACAGCGCTTCCAAGGCCGAGGTGAGGGACCTTAAAGTTCTCGTCACYGTGAAAATAGGGCTTGCGAAAATTAGAATTCTTTTTGGTAATGTTCCCGTACAATCTCTGAACCGCAGGGCCCTTGAGCCAATTGTAAGGAATCATTGCGGARTATTGAGCCTGTTCGCTGTGAATCWTGATTTCCATTCTTGACCCTTTGTCAAGCCAAGCCAGATTTCTCTTGAAATTCACGGCGGGAGCAAAAAGGACGCCGTTCGGATTTTTGAGCTCACACTTRATAACATGTAGAAGGGAGTCTCGGGTCATCATCTCGTCACCATCGTTCTGAATAACATACACGCGGTCACGAGCRGTATGGTCTTTGTACAGGTCTTTGGTGTAGTCTCGCCCACGATTCCTCAGTTGGATCTGGAGGCGGTACCCAATCTTTTTTTTCGTTTTTTTGGTGGCATTGGAAAAAAATTCCGCAGTAAAGTTTCGAAGAAGGTGGTAGTCGATCTTGTTGGAATAGAGATGTTTGAATTGTTCCTCTAATAGGTGGGGCATGATAATTGGTTTCGGAATTCCTTTGAGGGTGGTGTCCATATCAAAGAGCACCAAGCGATCAATTAGGTCTCCGTATTCGGCCAACCTTATCTCAGTAAAGTCACGATCATCCCATCCAACCATTGTCCAGTCAACAATGATTTTATCCCCATCTGGATCCAGATTACCAGTAAATGCCTTGAAATATTTTGGGTCGGCGCAGTTGATTGTAGAATTGTTGGTTGCATTGACTGGAGTTTTCATCGGGATCACCARGTTTTTATCATCCAGAGGGGCATTTTTGTCATTCGATGGCGCGGTTATTGTTTCGGCAGCAATTGCATATATTTTCTGTGTAAATTTATTTCCCGAGCTTCCCTTTTTGAATCTCTTCCCTTTTTTCTTCTTCAAATATTTTTTCCACTGTTTGATGCCCAGTTCGACAAGAAGCTTTTGCAAAAAGTCTAGGCTTTCGTCGTACAGCCTTCTGCCTGGGTGGATGATTGGTGGCACCRGTGAGGCATCGGTGTAGTCTCGACTTTTTCTTGAGTGATTCTCTGATCTTTCTGCCGCATTGGAAATCGTGCCTTCCATCGTGCTTACACTGATTTGTTTCTGTGGCGACGCAATGGATTTGTTGGAAGCAGCAGATGTATCTACCGCTGTTGYTGYTGGTTCTGTTATCGCTGTTACAAGCATTGGCTCGTTTACCTTTTGCAATTCATTCGTATGGATATCCCACATAACCGTCACGAGAACCGAGTAGCGCATACTGAAACATGATATCCCTAAGACCGCACCCACCAGGATGGGAATGGTTGCGATGCGTATTTGGTTTCGTGTATTGGTCCCTGTTTGTTTTGACTTCGATTTCATTGTTGGTGCTGCTGCAGGCTGTTATAGTCTTTTTAYGGTATGAAGTTGCGGATGGAGCAGTCTCCACCTCGTCAATCTAATTGCAAAGCCGTAGTTTTTATTATCCCTCTGGTTCAGCATCAATCTTTTCGTGAAGGATGTGTCTTTCCTGATTGTTACTCGTACCGAATATATTTTATTACTGTACCTGCGGTACGTATGTAATGTTCCGCACCTACCGTATGGTTCGAAAATTTATTTGAGAAACGACGAAGGCACATTTTGTTCGCGGCTCGCCGGGCGGGAGCGCTCTTGCCGAATTTTAATTTTAAATTTTGAAGCTCCAAAAACGAACACCATGTCGTATGGTACGTACGTACCTGTATTTGATATGGATGGTCGTAACTACAAATACCGTACTTCTATGATCTATGATGATAACTTCGTACGTATATACATACGATACGTACGTACTCGTAGTTCCTTCTTATTCTGATTTCTGATACCGAAGTGTACGARTACGAGCTCTGTGCTGTAGTGTACTCTACTGTAGAGTAGCGTAGTGTAGTCTACTGTATTACTATTTTTACGTACCACAGTTTTTATGCTAAGTACGAGTACGTACTTACTCGTACTGTACCTTACAGGAGGGTACAGTACCGTGAAACTCGGTATGTACTCGTAGTTTAGTCCTTGGGTTGGGAATCATAACCAAAAACACTGACGTAGCAGCAATTTCGATGACGCCAATCTTTGGAACGATCTGTTAACACTTAACTCACTCGGACTTGAAAGACTACTTGTAAGAAACAATTGATAAAGATGATTAGGGCTAGGAGATACGGCGAAKAACTCCTTTGCAGTGACGTTAGTACGGTACGTGACGAACTACTAAGAAATCGTYTCTAACGGCAACCAACTTCGCCGGCGGGAATGATGCAATCGGTCGTGTGAATCGAAACCAATCGTCGTCATCACCACGATCATCCGCGACGAGGCTTCATTTCTGCCGTACGTTCCTTTTTCTTTGATACGGGATKGCGTGAGAGCTAGGATTGTTGTTTCCGTACCGCAGCCCGCTATTGTATTAAGGTACGACTGGGAAGTCTCGCATACCGTAGTATTCCAATTTCAGAGGATTCAAAATAGTAGTCATAAAATAGAAAATCAAAACTCAAAAACACCAAGAGCAAAAACCACCACAATTTATAGAGTCAAAGGACAACACAACCATGACGGACGCGAAAGAACAAGATAGCAAGATTCAGAAAAGCGAAAGCAGCGCCGYTGCCGAAGCCGCCGTCGACACATCCTTCAACAAATTGAACTTTATAAACTTGATCGCCTACATTCTCAACTCGATTGCCACCTACAGTATTCAATTCGGATGGATCGATCGCCCCAACAACGGCGATATCTCCGACAAGTACCAGACCATTATTACCCCCTTTGGARMGTCCTTTCTGATCTGGTCCGTCATTTTCATGTGGCAACTCTTCTGGGTCTGYTGGCAATTTCTTCCAAGCCAAAGGAATTCGGAGGGTGTCATTAAGGCATGGTACTACTATCCCATCTTTACGGTCTTCCAGGCTGGATGGACCTTTTCTTTCAGTTGGGAAATCATGTGGCTTTCCTTGATCTTCATGTACGCAATTCTCGCCACACTCATTTCGGCATCCATGTCCCTTCAGACCTACAAGAAAACCTGGAAGGGATACTTGCTGTGGCAAGGACCATTTTCGATCCAGACAGGATGGATCATGGCAGCCTCTGCGTTGAATACRAACGTCTTGCCGGTTTACTACGAAGCGTCGACGACCGTCAAGATTGTTGTTTCTAGCCTTTCATTGGTGGTTCTTGTGGTGACGGCTTTCACATGGCTGTCSTCGTATCCAGTGGATTTTGCAATTCCTCTCGTTATTGTCTGGGCCCTGGGCGGTGTCTATGCCGAATTGCAGTCTCCTATGCCGATGATTCTTGAGGAATTTTCAACCAAGCAAATAAATGGTGTCCAAAACGGAGTCCTTGCCGGGTTGGTTGTGATTGGTACCGGAATCATTGCAAAGGCTGCGTATGTGATTTTGAAGCAACGACMTGAGACAATGAAATTGGCCGCACAAGCWGAAGTCCCAAAATCTGTCGATTCCGACAGCGCCGAAGACTCTGTTTAATCGAAAAAGATGACCGAACCAATCCATCCATTATGTGTTGTTCTCAGAACTAAATTTGTAGGTCATGCGACGGACGCTCCGACMCTGACTGTTTCTATCCATAAATCACTCGATAAAATGGCCGACGACTGAACTTGCTGTAAAACTGTAGTAYTKTATTTRTTTATTACCTCCCTCAACCTTTCACGTATGKCAACTKTTTGAAAGATAATATAKTAGTCATCACAGCATTCGGCTAAAATAATACGCTGTTTTGGAAGCGCAATKTTTGTGCCCCACTCGAAGGAAGGAGGACAACGAAGAAGTTGATAGTCWCATAAGCTTGTCCCCTGAGGTGTTGCATCAGCACCATGGACGGGGGATACTACTTTTCAAGTAATGGTATGGTACGACAAAAAGTAATACTAGTATCAATGTTATTATTTTCATGATGCAAGAGAAATACTGTAACTGTTGTTTGGAAACATACTGTAATGGGCTGTCATCCTAGTAGACATAATGACATGATGTAGTACGAAGTTATGTACAGTATTGCATTATACAGATATTTTCATACTGTACTATTTTGCTTCTTTCACAACACAGTCAGTGTCACACGCCGTCCGAATATTCATTTGAAACGCGAAATTTGAGATGAATTCAATCCATAGCAATCAGAAAACCTCTTGTACCTAATTAGTGTGAGCCTAACACACGTAGATCAAGGATGTCAAGAAAAAATACAAGGGTTGTTATTACCGGTAGAACAGCAGATTTAAGACAAAAACAAAACATTTTGTCGGTTGAAACAAATTCACCGCGCCTGCATGCTACCAACGAGCCGTTGGCTCGAACTTTGTGGTAGTGCCGTTGATAATACATACGGTTCTCGTAGCTGTACGGTACAGCACATGCCAAAAAATGTGCTTATTTTTTCTCATCGTTGACTGGGGTAATTGTTATCTGGGCTTTTCTTTTTGATCACTTCTTTGTACTGTACCGTACGGTAGGTCCGTAGAGGAGGGGGACGGAAACGACACTGAACTTTAGAAGTACGTGTACTGTAAGTACAGTACGATACTCTCGTACTTGTAGAGTGAAATAACTTCAGTACTGTAGGTAGAAAAATCGCCCAATCTTTACTGCTATTTATCCCTGGTACGAAATTGTTAGTAAAKTAAGTACGAGTACAGAACATAATTTTCGTGGTATCACGGACAATCGTTCACTTTTTGTTTTGCTCAAATCCAGCACGTCTTGCCCGAGGCGGCCGATGCGCACATCGTTGTTTTTGTTGTTAGAAGTTTTCAGTCAGTACTCGTAGTATATTGGCGGTCATCGCATCACCACGATTCTTCAGAAGAGTACGAGTACTCGTACGCACCGTATCTACACAAGGGTTGCCATTTTTTAAAGTTATTTAATGTCTCTGCAAGGCAAAGACGGAAACAGTGTGGTTCGGACAGCGCACTGTACATTATCACAGTCGTTGAATCAAAGGGCCGAGCAAAGCACCATAGAAAAAGTAGAAAACAACACAATTGACTGCAAACGACGACCGGCAAATAACAAACCAGGGTAGCAAAACCGAAACGCATACTGCCGAGAAGGAGGGTTCAACAAGAAAATTAGACGTCTRCAAAATGGTATCAAGTTCCAAACTTATATATACTTTCAGCGGCGTTGTCCTTGGGTACTTGCTCGGAAGTCAGCATGCACTGTTTTCATCCCARTACGATTCGATGGCGACAACTGTTTCCATTSGCTCGCCGCAGGTTCAATCACTTGACAAGTTTAAATCGGCTGCCAATGTTGGGAGCGTCGACGACCCGAACGTTTACAAACTCCACTCACGCGTCCAACTCTCCGAAGACCCCGAGTTGTTCGCAAATATAGTTAACCCATTGGTTCAAAACCTAATGGCGACGGGGAAAYCAAATTGTTCCGAAGGGGAGGTGGACGTATATTTCGATATACTCAAAAACATCGAAGAAAACCCTTCGTTCTATGAAGACACACCAAACAACACCAACCAAACATGCCCGCTGGTCTTTATGTTTTACTTCGAGGGTGGCATAAAGTTGGTACAGTCGTTTTTCACATACTACTCCAACATCCAGACCAAAAGGTGTATGAAATTCATWGTGTCAAAACGCTGGAAAGATCACAACGAAACCATGGAGATTATGGATAACCACGGTTACGAAATGTTGCCAGGGAGTGCCATTCAACAGGGGAKRACAATCATCAATGGCCTCAACGCAACCTTCAAGMAATACGGCGATGAAGTGGTGGTCAGCATCAACGATCTGGATCACTTGATGGTATGGTTTGATCTGGAAGGCAAGCCACATCGATACTCGAGCTATACCGACATGGTGCGGTTGTACATGTACGAAYTTCTGGCCACAAGGGGATGCCCGGACAAAAAAAATGTCCATGAGAGGTATGTCATACCTTGCACATGCCTAATGAAGAACAACACAAACTACGTGGCAGTACCCGACGGTGATGTCCTCTGGTCCCAGTATGGCCTCACGAATCGCTTCCATCCCACGGCGAACTTTTACCTGAACAATACCCTCGAAAAGTATTCTCTTGGCCACGATGTCGGGACCGTCTATTCGAACCTACGAAACATGAAGGTAAGTTTTTTGTTGGGTGCTCGTCAATCGAAGATTTCGATGCCGTTGGTCGCATCGCTCCATTCGTGCATTTTTCAGATCGTTCGTSGTCTKGTATTTCGTGCGTCAAAACACCTTTTCGACGTTTCTCATTTATCCCGGATGTCTATGGTGTATTTATTCGATGTTGCAGCTCGSCAACATCAACGTTCATCACAAGATAGGTCGCAAGACAAAGAAAACGGTGACACGGGCAACAATGGTCGGTATGATCCATGCACGAACCGACAACATGATCCAGTCCTTGGCGAAGTACCAGCATTTTCTCAAGAATTCTTTGAAGAATGCTCATCGCGACAGCGAATCCACAATTGCAGGTGCGTCCAGTACGGTACGGTACGGTACGGTACAAAAATACGGTGCTCTCGTCATTGTTGGCTTTATAGTGTTGTCGCGTAACGGCATGTGTGTGTTTGTGCATAGCTCTGAATTGTGAACGAATCTCACGACTTTCTTGATGTTACCGACGCAATTTTCTACTCAATTTTTTGTGGCGGAATAAATTCTTCGTTTTTATCTTGTTTTGAACAAAAACCACAGACGCAATGAAATGTTCCATCGTTAGCCCTGAAGAAATGATTKACAACGTGAAAACGTGCAGGTCGGTAAAGGAATTTTCCAATATACTTGCAATCGGTCATCAAAAACTAGCTTGTCTCAATGCTGGRTACAGTGAGGAACATTGCTTGTCCGACATGAGCTGTTGTGTGACAGATTAAGCGCGAAATACAAGAATTCTACACCTAAAATAATAGTTTTGAGTTACAATTAAAAACATGTTGCCCGCAGAGTAGTACTCGTAGGTATCGACTTTGGACTTCGTTTTGATATAAGATGTACAACCTTGCAGTCCTTATGTGTGGCGATGGGATCCATGAAATGATTTTCCTTGAATAGAAAAATGGAACCACACCCATCAACCCTTCATGCTCATGACAGCAGGACTGAATTTGAACGAWTAACATGTCCATATTTTAAAATTGTTTCTACCAAAWWCCCGGCCGTAGGTCTACCATGCTTGTGCAATTGCYGCACCTCGGATCCACKATATTGGTCCTCAGGTGATTCATGATGGTGCTCCAGTTGCTCTTGGTGGTCAGCACAAACATATTGGCCTCCATCGCTACGAGGAGAGATGCCAACGCCACTAGTCCGCTCCGTCCCCTAGTGTTCCGTGCCGCCCAGCTGGCACGATTTCCCTTCGTGGGCCGAAAGGCATTGATTTCGAGCAACGTAATGTCGGCGTAAACCTTCCAKCCGTCGGGTTTTGCGTCCATGAATTCCTGGTGCGCTCTGGGATCTTCCGTTGCTAGATATATGTTGGCTTCCGTCACATTCGCATGGTTTGTTGTATTTGCCTTCGCATTCGATGCGCGATGGGATAGGATTGAATGAACCCCGTCGATGTATTCTTGTATCGGCGGTAAATCCATTTCCCAGAATTTGTCGCCCCATCGAATGTGGACCGTGACCAAGTCTTCCGGAACAACACCGCCAGGAAACAGGACACCAATTTGTCGCTTTGCTTCTCGAATCACCAAAGGGCTCACGCTTTGAAACAAATATTCGGTRGACGACGCCCGTAGTGCCGCCTTGGATTCTTCGGACTCTTTTGCCATTCCACACCAATCGGCTTTATTYCGAGGATCAGTAATGTTTTTCTCRAGAGATAACTCCCCGACCTYGTRGCTGCTGTCAGAATCGACAGGCAGTTTTCTTCCCCCTGTTGTCGTCATCGCACCAGCATCCACGGATCCGAGGATTTCTTGCTGATTCTGAAACTCTGAACATCGATCTTCGGATGATGGAAAGTAACAAAGCAGAGGTGACACAACGGCCTCTTGCTGCATGTCACAGTGCTCCTGGTCTAGCCAGAGCCAAAGTGGCGCGTGCGACCGCATTCGAAACCTAGTTTCCATTCCGTTGCACATGGCCTGTCCCCAGAGRATGATATGGCTGCCTAAACCAAAGGTGTTGTCGAAATGGTGGGTGGCGAGTGGCAGGGAGCAATCCGACTGATGAGCTTCTATGTTTCTGGCGTGCTCGGAGAGAGGCGGGTTGTGCARCCAATTTCTCCGCAACCGACCGCAGTTATCGGCACTCTGATGCTCCATCAAGCGCTTMGAAGGATCCGATCCCTGCTTKATTGTGTCTCCTATCACACTGGGCTGGTGATCCAWACAGAGAAGTACGGTAGAATCGTCACTGTCGGTCTCGGTACTACGAAGTGACGTTAGTGGAGGATGGAAGAAAGTGCTAGCATTGGATCCGCGGAGAGTCGTCTGCGAAAWAGAATGGGGATTGTCCAATAATAGCTCCATCGGAACATTCATGCTCTGRATTGGTAATGGTGTTYCCATCGTGATTTCTATCCGGTGGGGCAAGGTGCACAGCAAAAAGGTCATCGACATTCCCATCGATGCGATGAACACCAAGCTGACCATGCGGCTGCTTTTCTCCATCRTTGAGCGTCTCATCGGTTGCATCGAGYGTGTCATTTCTTTYTGGATACAATGTGCAATAGATCGCCGACGGCTTCTGTTCAAGATYGATTGCAGCTAGTGACTCGTCTAGTTTCCTGGCTACYTGGTGCWGTCCAAGTCAGACGATTAAACAAWCCATCGAATCGCTCGCAGATCGTGACCTATTCGAAACTGTTGCGAAGGACGACAGTAACTCCGATCGTTGTGTCCCGATCTCTGCCGCCGAGGTTTCTCTCGTGCGGTGTGCCCATGACAAAACTCGTAAGATTTGGTGAAAAGTTACACATCTCATCAGTACCGTACAGTACGGTACGTACTACCTGTACGTCATCACGTACGATACTTGGGAGTACGGTTATCACGAGTAAAATACGGTAGGGGAACGTAACGTGACCTTGTTTCAGTAGAATTTGAATGGAAACCCGAAACAATTTCAAATCAAATTCAAAATCCTCACGCGATTCGCAATAATTGTGCGCACCCAAACCAAGCCGGCCGTCTCTTCTCTCACTTTTTTCTTTTCCCAAGATCAGGAATCTGGCCCTTGTCGAGGCCATGAAGAAAAAACTTGTTCGTATCCACTTGACAACTTCTGAACAAGAACARCTACTGTAAAGAAATACAAGCAATACTGCTTAAATTTTGACGCACAAAAGGAAAATATCCACGCCCAAGATTACWGTATGGCGCCGAGAGGGTACCTATCTTACTTTTCAAGTATTGCAGAGAGAGTATACCTTTCTTTCCTAGATTCTATGTTAGTGCATTATTGTCTTGCCCCTCTCCTCTACAGATGTTTCGTGAGGCGAGAACCARGKGCGCAGACAGAGAAAGGATCTTTTCTTAAATTTCTAATTTTTATTACCGCATCTCTCTATTACATATAAACTATTCAATCATTGAGAGACACCCAGAGTCAACAATTGAAGGAACAATGAATCATCGTATACWGATACGACTGAATGATCCCCTCGTTTCAYAATTCATCATCCTTCTCTTCAAGTACGAAGTATTATTTTTCGAGAGATTCTTTCATAAGTTGCTCGGTCTTGTTGTTTGTTGTGTATATGTCATCCTCGACGTCACTTCTACAACTTGTTAAGATCTTGAAAGACAAAATGGCCATTGCAGAAAGCAGAAAAACYATACACAACAAGCCTCCAACTGCTGCGACGATAATAGATGCCGCGGGTCTATCGTTGTCGAAAAGATTCGTCATTATGTCATTGGCACTCCGGCCATTGACGCCAGATATTGCTGACGCTGCAACGAATGACTCGGTTTCTCCGGTGTCCGTGCTGTTCCCCCAACTGCCGTCTTCAGCTGACGAAATCTCGTCTTCTCCCGAACCTCCACTGCCGCTGCCGCCACTGCCACTGCCACCACCGCCGCCGCCACTGCCACCACTTGATGACGAAGAGGAGCTGCTCCCCGAACCACCGCGAGGACCCTTAAGTGTTCGWTGATACTGATCCTGGGGTATCGTTGACAGACTTGCTGCTAGCGTTCGTTGCTCGCGATTCGGTGATCGCAGCTGCGGCGAAGAGGCAAAAGCGAAAAAGTTCGTCCCGAGTGCTAGAAGCAATACGGTAATCGTTAATCTGTTTTTCAACATCTTCATTGCAWTAAAGTCTTTATCTTTTCTTGTGTTTCTTCGGTCGCTAGACGCTGCGATAAGTGAAATATGTGCGTGACAAAGAAATAACTGTGGGCATGTTTCTTCTATGTCACGCTGTGTTGAATAATTCTTGTCACCCAAACGCTTCCACCCACCCGTACGGTACGCTACGTGGTCGTCCTACCGTACCGTACGGGGTACTCGTACTTTCATTTTTGAAAGAAATACATACTTCGTACGATACGTTGAATTGAGACTTGGCGCACCCGTACCGATAACGGTATGAGTTCCAGCAAAAATTATCTCAGGTTTATGGTTGAAAGGATTTTGATGGCCGTCAACGTACAATRAACAGTACGTACTCGTACGTAGCGTCAAATAATGTACTTTACCGTATGTACGTATCGTACCGTAGGTATCAATACCCCAGTATTCTACGCAAACATCACGACGTTGCATGGACGCGTAATTTGACATCGTGATCAAAATACGATTCGTATGKGAAGTGCTACTAACTAGTGTGTACAACCATCAARAGTATTGAAGTTACAAATTGCTATCGCACCGGTACAATTCTTAGGTTGGAACGATGACGAGCGTCGTTTTTGGCCTTGGGCTTTTTGAAAATCGCTTTGYTGATGGGAATCGGAACGGGAATTCGAAGCAGGACGCAACGGAAATGGAATGAATCCRATCTCCAATCCAGTCTAATCCAAAAAAACCAAGCGTGTCCACTCTAAATYGAAGCCAATCATTCCCGGCTCGCTAGGTCCTTCCTCAGGGTCCAGACCTCCGGTTCGCCCGATGGTTGGCCGGCGAAAGCGTTCCCGCTTCCCTTGGCCTCGATCCGCGCCTGGGTATCCACCGGAAGCGACGCATCGGTAACCGACCACGGCGTTCGCGAATAGCCCATCCCGTCCCGGTAGAGYCCGAGGGCCGCCTCGTTGGTCGCCTCGACGCGGATCCAGAGCCAGCARTGGTCGTTTTCGTTTTSRTYTTSRTYTTCGTCTTCGTTGTTCCCGTTGCCCTCTAGGCCCGAGACGAATCGCTCCGATTCCTCCACGAGTTTCCGCGCCAGCCCCTTCCGCCGATGGTTCGGATCCACGGCCAGGTCCGAGAGGTAGGGCCGCGGCAGCCGCAGCTTGGTCCGGCACGGACGGGCGTCCACGTCGCARAAGCCAACGATCGCACCTTCGTCGCCACCGGCGTTGTYCGCTCTTTCGCTCGCCTCGACGACCACCAGCATCCGGTGCTTCGTGCGGGATTCCGGGTAGGCGTAGTTTTGCTGCAGCCGGTTGAGCTCCGCGAGCTTGTAGAGATTGCGTGCCACGATGTTGGTGGTGGCCTTGTCGTAAAAGGATTCCACCACGAGATCCGCCACCTGTTTCAGTTCCCGGTATTGGCAGTCGCGGACGGTRTAGGAACCACCGGGGGGAGACGCATCGACGCTGCCGCCGCCCTCTTGTGACGGATCGGTTGCCGCCGCYAGCGCTGCCGCYGATGGCTTGGATTCCCCACCGCCATTGTCCGTGTCAAACGAAGCAAACCCGAGTTGCGAGGAACGCAACAACGACGAGCAATGCGTTGTTTTTGGTGCAGAGGGTTGATTGKTTCTGTCGCTTCTTGGTCGATCACCGTGACGAGGAACCGCAAACGCGGAGCCGCSTGTCGAGAGAGCCGCCTGTCGCAGCMRRCACGRAAAAGGAGAACAGGCCGGAGCCAGCGCCAATGCCAGTGCCGCGGTGGGAATCGAGATCGAGACGGSAGCAAAACCCAACACAATGGCGAGGGAAATCCCCCAGAACATTGTTCGTGCCATCGTCGGTCGTGGCCTGGTTCTCTCCGTGTGCAGTCTTCGCTTGCGCCGGGCAACCGACCGGCCCAAGCCAGGCGCACCATCACCGGCGTTGGTGGTCGTTGTCGGCCCAGACGGATTGCGCCGCTGAATCATTCTGCCTCTGGTTGAGTGCAATGCTCGAATGCTGATAAAAGGGTGAGCGTGTCTGTCTATGTCACTATCTATCCATCGGTTTGTTTGGGGATCCGACGAGATGCCGTTAGCGGCTTTCCGGCTCCGTTCCCTTMGATGTAAGCGGTCGGATGAAAAAGCTTCAGCTACCGTTCTTCTGGATGAGAAGAATGCATAAACCCGAAGCGATCGGTACAAGAAAATGTTGTAGAGTACAGTGTACAGTAGGGTACCGTACTCGTACGTACTGCTACTAGGTTGTGGTTTGTGGTGGTGTTACATCTAGCGGTTCGTACGGTACGTACCGTACGTACCTTAGACCGTTCATTTTTTTCGTTRAGACTTTTTTGATCGAGGGACAGACAGACACAAARKAGAGAGTGAGAGTCAGTCGAGTCAGTCGAGTTTCAGTGTGTTTGTACCTGTACTCTTTCGAAAGGGTCATGAATCTAACGATTGATGACCCCTGCTCGTTCGTGCGAATTAGTAGTAGAATACATACATATCTAACGGCTCATAGTTGTACTCCTTCATCCAATCTTCTCCRATCAAAGAGAATGTTGCCAGGGAGCAACAGGAAACTCGAAGTGCAACAGGAAACTGTGATCATAAGGAATTTATCTMGGTGAGTTCGGTTCGGTTCTGGAGTGGTTTCCCCCAAACCTTCTGAAAAATTCTCGATCTTTTTTCATTTTTAGGAATGGATCAAAACGTTCTTCGGATACCGACTTTTTGTTTCCGTTGTGGACGAAGCACAACACATTGCAGTTACTGTTACACTAGTTGTCGATTCAACGCAGGCTCGAGCCTTCCTTCCTTCCTTCCTTCCTTCCTTCCTTCTTTCCATATGACGGCAGCTTTTTCGTCGTTGACAGCCATCTGCGAAGATTTTATCACTTCGACTACCATCTATCATCTATCATCTATCATCTCTACCTTCCGATTGAGTGACGCTGTAGAGCACCATTGCCGCCGTCGAATCTTCAGGGAGAACAACTAACAGCTGTTCACAAAGTTTTCATCGAGGCAACTCATCGTGTCATCCTTMACTGCCACCTTGCTTGCTCAACAACAAATATGCTGCATCCGCGCCTTTCCATGCTTGTGCCACAACAAAAAGTGTTGCTGCGGACCACAACGCGGGCCCTTCCCGCAGTCGCTCCGTGGACAACAACAACACCAACGACAACGACAACAATACCAACAGCAACGAGATGCAAATCCTCCGCGGTTCCAAAGATCTCGTCGTCGCCATCCGCGGCACTGCACAAGCAGAAGCACAAGGATACCTTCTTTCGTTCCCAGCACTGTACCCATTGCAAACCAGGACGACCGGGGCATCGATCCTTTGCCTCGACGGCCCGGGCTGCGTCGAGYGGAGGCAGCTCCGAACACATCCGGTCGTACGACAAGCAATACATCAACGGAACCTGGATCGATTCCACAAACACGGAGACCACCATCGACGTTTTTGATTCCAACACCGGARCCGTCGCCGCCACCGTCCCGGACGGGACCGAGGAAGACACGCTCGCCGCGATTGCCGCGGCGAAGGCCGCACTSCCCGGCTGGAGCAGGGGAACCTCCCTCCCCGAGAGGATGGAAGCGATCCAGTCTTTTCTGGGCCATTTTCTCCAACGCCAGGACGAAATCTGCGACCGCCTAGCTGTCGAGCTGGGCTGCCCGGCGGGACTTTCCAGGACCGTCCAGTTTGGCTCCTTTCCGTTTCACGGTTCGACGCTGATGAAGCTGCTCGGAGACGACAACGAAAAAGCCTTCGAATGGGAATATTCCGCCGGGAACTCCACCGTCGTKAGGGAACCGATCGGTGTCGTCGGAGCGATCACGCCCTGGAACTATCCGCTCCACCAGATCGCTCTCAAGGTGATCCCGGCCCTCGTCGCGGGTTGCACCGTTGTGCTCAAGCCGAGCGAGGTGACCCCCCTCGTCGCCTATTCCATAGCGGAAGCCCTCGACGAATCCGGCTCGTTTCCGGAGGGCGTCTTCAACATGGTGGTGGGGGGAGGACCCGAGTGCGGCGAGGTCCTGGCCCGCCACCCGGACRTCAACCTGGTGAGCTTTACGGGTTCCACAAAGGCGGGGCAGATCCTGGTAAGGGCGGCCGCGGAGAGCGGGACGATGAAGCCCGTCCGAACCGAGCTCGGGGGCAAGTCGGCGGCTCTGCTGCTGGAGGACGCCGACCTGGAAAGCGTGGTTCCTTCCTTTGTGAAGCACGTCACGGTCAACACGGGCCAGTCCTGCAACGCACTGTCGCGGATGCTGGTGCCGCGAGCGCACTACGAAGCCGTTCTCGGCATCGCCGAGGCGACCATGGAGTCGGAAATCGTTGGGCCCGGAACCGATCCGGAAACGACGGTCGGCCCCCTGGCATCCAGGGCCCAGTACGATCGAGTCGTCTCATACATCGAAACCGGCATTTCGGAGGGGGCACGGCTCGTCACGGGAGGGGTCCCTAGCAACAACAAATACGAAGGAGGCGGGTATTTCGTGGCACCGACCCTCTTCGCCGACGTGACCAACGACATGACGATCGCCAGGGAAGAAATTTTTGGCCCCGTCCTCTGCGTGATTCCGTACGACGACGAATCCGAGGCCGTCCGCCTCGCAAACGAGACGCCCTAYGGGTTGAACAACGCGGTGGCATCGAGCGACGTSAAACGGGCCCTGGGGGTTGCCTCCCAGCTCGAGTCCGGAATGGTGCGTGCCTAAGGAGTTCGTTTTGTTGGTGGCTTTGGCACGAAATTTCTGCACCGAACAGGGAGGAATAACGGCATTGGCTAGAACAATCCCTCTACCAACCCTTTTTCGGTCTGCTTCGATCGTTGCCATGTCGCATGCGTTCTAAATGAATATGGAATAATGGTTGTACGGTACACTGAATCCTTTGCTTTTTGTTTCTTTTCTTGTATTTTTCGATTTYTCTTGATTCCATATCAACCTGTATTTATCATTATTATTGGCTGTCACWGGTCATGGTCAATTCCACAAATGTAGATGGCGAAGCGCCATTTGGTGGGTACAAACTAAGTGGCAACGCAAGAGAATGGGGACTGGCGGGTCTAGAGGAATTTCTGRTTACRAAAACKTTGAACGTCCCGCTGAGAGAATACAGAGCTGCCGTATACGRTGAACACRTTTGACACGGTATTATAMCACTTTCACCTACTCTWATCTTACCCTGCGAATGCATACTAYAYCGTAYTGGTTGATTGGTATGAGGTTGAAATGGCCATCACTCCGATTTGTGACCATAAAACTAAAACTAAGAAACTTAATGAMGTCGTCATGTCAGTAGCAATGATTGTGTGGATGAATCGTATCGTAACACCACAGAACCTATCTGTGTCCACGCAAAACGTATAACGAATGTGATGAGCATGCAATGCTGTGCAACGAAGTTGATTCCTGGAACCGATACTCAATCCTTCCCGAGCATCGAGACAAAGCAAAACTACAGAGTGTTTGGTTCTGATGGCGTCCTGTATGTTCGGTCGTCGCCAAATATGGCAAATTGCGATGGCTGGATGTATCCTTGCATTGTGCTYYTCASTTGTCGAGTAATCGTGAACGATYGTTTCGTTTGTACCGTGTGTTACATCAGATGTGAACAATCTAGTCACACTGGTTCWTKGTGGACAMATAGGGTGGTGAGTGTTCTAAAGAATATGATAATATTCTACTGTATCAAGATGGTGGCTTCGTGCTCTATGGGATCAACATGCGTTTTATGTTTATGTATTTATGTTACATGGATTCAACCAAGGGATATAACCAGGCTGTTTCGCTTCGTACCGTGTGCATCGAAGTCACGGGTGAGATKGCGGTTGGCGCTGGCGGGGAAGTGCCTTTTCGTTCAACAAAGCAAGTTTCGTAGCGAGCAGTAACTAGACAACGTGCTTATTTGGCAAGGGGAAGGATGGCGTCGATGTTGCCCATCTTCTCGTGAACCATGAGGCCGAGGATTCCCATTTGGGCGGCACGTCCGTTGTTCAACTCGATGGATCGCTTGCGACGCTTCCAGTCATCGGATTGCTTGTCCCATCCGAAGTCAAGAGCTCCGTTACGGAAGTCACCCTTGAATTCGGCCTTGCCCTCGGCGTTACCGTCACCAACTCCCCAAGGAGCCTGGAACTGATCCTGGTTGGCGGCTTCCATCATAGCCCAAGTGGCGATCAGCTGGGCCCAGACCATACCGGGGAGGTTGTCAAGGGCGGCGAAGCCTCCGGGGATGTCTTCGGCTCCAGGGAATCGGACTCCAGCGGCGGTGGTCAAGTATCCGACAACAGCAAGCATGGMGATACGTCCGTGCTTGAGTTCGACCCATCGAAGGCGGGCGAACTGTTCCTCATCAGCGTCCTTGGCATCACCGATGATTCCGAGRGGATCAAAGAATCCCAAAGGAGCCTGGGCACCRATTTCTCCGGAGACATCGGCGTTCAAGGCGGTGGAGGTGGTTGCTTGTTGGGCAGGCGCGAAGGCGGCGGCTCCGGCGACAAGGGTGGTGAAAATGGCGAGCTTCATGGTTGAAATTTTTGGAGTTGTTGTTGAAAAGGTTCAAGTTTGGGATTGTGAGRGRAGAGWGGCTGGCCCTCGGAAGGTGTATTACCTACACGGAGAACATAACCACTAAAAATTGGTTGCACTTCCTCGAAACGATACGACGGCCTTTCCTCGTGATAGATACCAGGAAGGACAACATTCAACCAAAGGAATGCGAATTTACGTTCGTAAGTTCCTACTAGTAAATCTAAAAACCTCAAACACCCATCACTAATTTCTTGATGGACAGAGGATCGCGATCGCGACTTCAACCAGATACCAATTTTGGGAATTTGAGGAAGAGGAACAAAAAGAACAGCAATGCTACTCTACTCGTGACTGGATAGTTTCTATAGATTGTCCTACMGGACAGGGATGGGTCGCCTCAGTCACGTCTGTAAAAGTCGTCGTCACCTACTACGGTTTCACGGTATCTTCGGCTTCAACTTCCCCCATTGCTTCTGTCTTTCGCCCGCGAACGTCTGTTCCGTCCAATTCCTCGCAGCTGTCGGTCTGTCTGCGTCCTACGTGACCCGACATTCACCTGTTTTGGGGCGAAGAGTTTGTGCCACGTCGTATCGCGCGACGCGCAGATGCAGTTTCATAAAGCATTTGAGCATCCAATTACAAAACAAAGCACAANGTCGTCATGTCAGTAGCAATGATTGTGTGGATGAATCGTATCGTAACACCACAGAACCTATCTGTGTCCACGCAAAACGTATAACGAATGTGATGAGCATGCAATGCTGTGCAACGAAGTTGATTCCTGGAACCGATACTCAATCCTTCCCGAGCATCGAGACAAAGCAAAACTACAGAGTGTTTGGTTCTGATGGCGTCCTGTATGTTCGGTCGTCGCCAAATATGGCAAATTGCGATGGCTGGATGTATCCTTGCATTGTGCTYYTCASTTGTCGAGTAATCGTGAACGATYGTTTCGTTTGTACCGTGTGTTACATCAGATGTGAACAATCTAGTCACACTGGTTCWTKGTGGACAMATAGGGTGGTGAGTGTTCTAAAGAATATGATAATATTCTACTGTATCAAGATGGTGGCTTCGTGCTCTATGGGATCAACATGCGTTTTATGTTTATGTATTTATGTTACATGGATTCAACCAAGGGATATAACCAGGCTGTTTCGCTTCGTACCGTGTGCATCGAAGTCACGGGTGAGATKGCGGTTGGCGCTGGCGGGGAAGTGCCTTTTCGTTCAACAAAGCAAGTTTCGTAGCGAGCAGTAACTAGACAACGTGCTTATTTGGCAAGGGGAAGGATGGCGTCGATGTTGCCCATCTTCTCGTGAACCATGAGGCCGAGGATTCCCATTTGGGCGGCACGTCCGTTGTTCAACTCGATGGATCGCTTGCGACGCTTCCAGTCATCGGATTGCTTGTCCCATCCGAAGTCAAGAGCTCCGTTACGGAAGTCACCCTTGAATTCGGCCTTGCCCTCGGCGTTACCGTCACCAACTCCCCAAGGAGCCTGGAACTGATCCTGGTTGGCGGCTTCCATCATAGCCCAAGTGGCGATCAGCTGGGCCCAGACCATACCGGGGAGGTTGTCAAGGGCGGCGAAGCCTCCGGGGATGTCTTCGGCTCCAGGGAATCGGACTCCAGCGGCGGTGGTCAAGTATCCGACAACAGCAAGCATGGMGATACGTCCGTGCTTGAGTTCGACCCATCGAAGGCGGGCGAACTGTTCCTCATCAGCGTCCTTGGCATCACCGATGATTCCGAGRGGATCAAAGAATCCCAAAGGAGCCTGGGCACCRATTTCTCCGGAGACATCGGCGTTCAAGGCGGTGGAGGTGGTTGCTTGTTGGGCAGGCGCGAAGGCGGCGGCTCCGGCGACAAGGGTGGTGAAAATGGCGAGCTTCATGGTTGAAATTTTTGGAGTTGTTGTTGAAAAGGTTCAAGTTTGGGATTGTGAGRGRAGAGWGGCTGGCCCTCGGAAGGTGTATTACCTACACGGAGAACATAACCACTAAAAATTGGTTGCACTTCCTCGAAACGATACGACGGCCTTTCCTCGTGATAGATACCAGGAAGGACAACATTCAACCAAAGGAATGCGAATTTACGTTCGTAAGTTCCTACTAGTAAATCTAAAAACCTCAAACACCCATCACTAATTTCTTGATGGACAGAGGATMGCGATCGCGACTTCAACCAGATACCAATTTTGGGAATTTGAGGAAGAGGAACAAAAAGAACAGCAATGCTACTCTACTCGTGACTGGATAGTTTCTATAGATTGTCCTACMGGACAGGGATGGGTCGCCTCAGTCACGTCTGTAAAAGTCGTCGTCACCTACTACGGTTTCACGGTATCTTCGGCTTCAACTTCCCCCATTGCTTCTGTCTTTCGCCCGCGAACGTCTGTTCCGTCCAATTCCTCGCAGCTGTCGGTCTGTCTGCGTCCTACGTGACCCGACATTCACCTGTTTTGGGGCGAAGAGTTTGTGCCACGTCGTATCGCGCGACGCGCAGATGCAGTTTCATAAAGCATTTGAGCATCCAATTACAAAACAAAGCACAATTACGTGAAGTCAGTATTGTACGGTACTAAAATTCGTACTTGTACTTCGTAGTTCTGGACAGTACGAACGTACCGTAATGTACAGTAATGGGGATTGCTCTGTTCAAAATACGGTACGGTACGAATGTACTTTACGTACTTACGAATTGACTTTACTCTTATTTCTAATTTCTCCTACCTCCGTCCCACAATAATAGGACAATATGCACCTATTTCGTTGAAATAAGCTCAATATTTGGGCAATTGGAATGATTCTTTTGTTTAACAGATCTATTATAAATATATACAAGTATGAAGATCATATTAATTGAAAGTGTCTGACATACTTATGGTATTTACTTAAAGAGAGACATTTTTTCTTATCAGCAATATGAAAATACCACTGTCAGTTGGTGGGTTCTACTACTGGTCACTGGAAGACCAGACCGGTTTCTATAGAAAGCCAAGAGTGACACATTTTTTAGGCTGTAATTCTCTTCAGTGTTGAGAACTTTCTTGCATTTGCCATTCTTGTTTGAAAAAGGTGCACTGTACCACTGTCGTCATTTCATTGTTCCCCCCCATGTTAGTAACAAGCAATTCTATTGTAGTATTTTCATGTGTGAAAAATWAAATTAATTTTTTTCACGTGCATTCTCATTTTTAATTTTTATCTACAGTACTGATTCTACCTATAAACCACTTAAGTAAATACTGACCAATTATTACTGGACAAATTGAGTACTGCATATTGTCCTATTATTGGTGTGGGACGGAAGTAGTAGTGTCAAGCAGATAGGTAGTGGTACTACTCGTAACCGTTGAGCAGCTCAACATTTTCATGTACTCAGCACATGGTATTTTTCAGGTACCATTCATGATGTGTTGAACAGATTGCACCATACAAGCACTAGTTATTTTTTCCTTAGTAAGWACATGCACCTCAACAAGGTAAAAAAGCCAAACTAAGAAATTTTGTAACCAGAAATTGTAGCCAGCAAGAAACTCTTCCCTAAAGAGAGGCCCTTCTTTTCTCCATGATACTAGTACTACTACTAGTAGCATGGTTACATTTTTTTCAGTCTGGTTACAAAAAGCACACTGGTGCAATTATTGTAACAACAAMCACATCATGTAACCACACGTGCAAGCTCAACAGCAGGTACTAAAAACTGTCTTACTAGTTGMTGACAATTTTGAATACTGAATAGTACTATTTGTAGTAAAAAGTACAAGTACTCACTAAAAATTGTGACAGTTTTTGATTAAAAACCTGATCTTTATTGCTATCTGTATAGTACAAACTAGAAATATCAAAAATGCACTATTTGCAKGAGGGGGGAACAAGCAAAACACAAAATAAAGAAACATCATTGACCATGAAGACCAGAAGCAAGAAGTCAACCACACCTCTGGCAAAGAAAGCACCAGCTCCTACTTTAAAGAAGGATGACAACAGCATCATTGACTGCAACRTGTGTCCAGAAAGTAAGGAGAGCTTGAGAGAAAGGTCTCAGTACAGCACACAGAAGAAGAACAGATTGTTTTCCTCTCAGCAGCAAGGAGCAAGAGATCCATGATACTGGAAGGGAGTTTGGGCTGAGGTAAGTTGGACAACAAAAGAAAACAGTCCTCAGAAAGAAAAATGCTGAGTCAAACAGCAGGCACAATCTTGTTGGCACCAGAAGAAGAAGCAGCAGCTGCAACTTGCAGCTGCTGTCAACAAAACCAAGAAGAGTATCTCTTGATCAAGCAGACAAGACCACACCAGCAACACCAGCAATAAATTGAAGACCACCACCAATCCAAAATCCATACACAAACAACAAGAAGAAATGCGCTGTATCCATGATAAACAAGAACAAGAAGAAGGCACCAGCAAAAAAGAAAGCTGCTGCAGCAGCAAAGAACAAAAAAAAAATTGCACCAGCACCGGCACCAGCGCCAGCAGCAGCTGTTGCCGCTGCCTCCACCACTTGTCCTGTTGCCACAGCTGCTGCTGTTGTCAAATCAGAAGAGCACCAAGAATTAAAGAATTTTGAATATGCAAAGAAGCTGATTACCAATCCAAAGAATGCCTTCAACACACTTGGAAGGGATGAGTATGTAAATGCAGAATCAAGCAACAAGGGGTATGCAACAAAAAGAAAAGGATGCCTCAATTGGCTTTGTTTGAACAATCCTTGATGCTTTGGATCTGGAAACAAACAATCCCAGAGACTTAGTGATATATGAGATGTTCACCAACAAGAAGGTTCCTATGAATGATGGATTAACTGAAGACTACATATTCTACAAGAATGTTGAAGGCAAACCAAATGCTCTGAAGAAGATGCTGATGAATCAAGCCCTCATGATCTGGACACTTAATATCAAGAACACAAAGACCGGAGAGCCCCTCAATGCAAACACTCATTCAGTGTATGTTTGTGTACTGTTCTCAGCTTTCCATGAGGAGGAGATCCAGTTTCATGAAGCTGACTTCAAAGGGAAGGGGTTATTCCTCAGTGCTGTTATTTCATCAAGAAGAGAGCTGTAGATCTGACACTCAGAACCAARAGGACAAATGCATATGGGGATGCTAAGTTTGTGAGCTTGCTTCAAACTGGTGTATATAGGCCTTATTCAGATATGAAGGACTTGCTGAAGATCCTCACCATGGAACTGGGGCAATAGTTTGGCCTCAGGGGAAGGGATGAGATTGTCTTTCTTGAATGGAGCTTCATGAAGCTTGGAAGCTTCTCCCATGGAAAAATGGAGAGTGATTGACATGTGATCATTGCTCTGGGTGGAGGCTTTGACAAGGGGAACCAACTCAGCTTGAGCAWTCCAACTGTAACTGAAATGTATCCAGTGGTAGTGGGAGACAAAAACAATCCATGCTTTATTGTCAAGCTGATCTTCTTCTATGGAGAGAGATGCAATCTGGGACAGCAATGGTTCTTCTGCTACACCAATGAGCACAGACACAAGGATAGTCCCTATTATTTCAGGTGTTTGATACCAGTTGGACAGGATGCTGTTTGCAAGTGGGTCAAGGAAATAGCTTTAGCTGCTGGATACAAGGATGTAAAGAAGTTCACTCCTCATGATAATTGACATCAATGATCCTGTACTGTGTTCTTAGCATCTGATGTGAATGTTCCTGAGAAGCTCAAGATGAATCATCTTAGACCTAAGAGCACAAGAAAGTCATCTAAAGTATATGACCATGTATCCTCAAGGACTCAGCAGAGAGTACAAAATACTCTTCATGCTGGCTTCAATTACAAGAACAAGTCAAAGGGAAAGCAGAAGCCTCCACCCTCATCTTTGCCTTCTAGCAAGAAGACAGTCCATTAAATGCTGGTGCTGGTGCTGGTGCTGATGCTGATGCTGATGCTGATGCTGATGCTGGTGCTGGTGCTGGTGCTGGTGCTGGTGCTGGTGCTGGTGCTGGTGCTGCAGCAGCACTGAGTACATGGAAATGTTGAGCTGCTCAACAATTACGTAAATAACTGTGGAAGAGCTCTACTTTCAGCACCAAAAGTACCTTCAACAAACTCTCAAGCTACTAAAGCTCTCTAGCTTGTTGAAGATACTTGCAGTAACCTCATTTTGATCTTGAGCTAAATTTCTCGATCTCAGCGATGTTACTGGTACAATTTCGGTACACACACATATCACATACTTTGTTCACCGTGCTTTAYGATGCAAATCAATGTAGGATCATACACTACCGGTTACCAGTCGGTACTCTGCTGGTGGTTTCTAGTAGTAGCTATTTTTAAGCATGTAGCACTACTGCCTACGACGGCAATACTAAGAAATACTTTTAGCACGAGTGCTAGTAGCGAAAAGATATAAAATCGCTTCTAGTAGTAGTAGTACTAGTAGTAGCACTGGTGGGAGCTAGAACTACTACTACTTGCAGTAATACTAGTACTACTACGAGTAATGGTGGTACCTACTACTAGTAATGATGTGTTCTAGAATTTGTTTCTAAAGCTACCAGTACTACCACTACCAGTGTAACTACTAATTCTTGTTGTACAGATAATAAGAAGAACAACAAGAACAAGAAGAAATTTCTTCTTCTTGTTTGTCTGCCTCTTCACATTTGCTTGTTTCTTGCTTGCTTGTTCTTATTGTTCTTGTTGTTGCGATACATACATGTGACGTGAATTCTTTGCCATCAATCAAAAATGATCGCTCGATTTCTTCTTTCTTTGTTTTCCTCGTTTAAAATAATATTACATCCACCAATAACCCACCCGACGATCGCCCCAGTCAGTTGGTGGACGGATCATGCTATCCTTTTTCAGAGCAACGAAAGTATCCCGAGCTTTCCTCTCCCACCCCACCCCACCCCACTCCACCCCAAATCAAAAATGCACACATTGCGTAGTGCTGTTGCCAATGCGTGCTGTTTCTCCCCTTTCTTTTTCCCTGGCCGTTAAATAAGCGAAAAGGAACAAACGTCGTTTGGAAGAAAGGCTGCAGTTGCGACAGCATGGTTCGAACTCTTTCCCGCDGCATGGGCGGCAGGACGATCATTCTTTGCCACACCGGCACTGCCAATAGAACTACCGAGCTGGTGGAACAGCTCCTGAATCGAACGGTGAACCTGTCTGTTGTGGGCTAGAGATTGCTTCTTYTTCTTGCCGCGGTTCTTCCAAACCTTAGAATCCCAGTTCCACGAGCGGATCTCGTTGAGCTTGGAAATCCTCTGGAGYGACATGGTGGGCGCTTTGTTGCGATATTCCCGCCGCTGGCGCTGGGTCCACTCCGCGAGGGACCGGTCGTACTTGGTGGGAATCTCGCAGTTCCCGTGYCTGGACTCAAATGCCACCAACATGTCATACTTGTCGTACCAGGCTCCCTCGAGGCGGTTCCAGACGAACTTGAGGTCGTCGAGTTTCTGGATCTGCGAGGCACTMAGCTTTTGGTCCTTGAGGTTGTTTCGCTGGCGCTTGACCCACCCACTGAGCTGCTTGTCGGGGTCGCTYCGGAGTACGTTCGAATGGCCGTTGGCCTCGTAGAACTTGACGAGCCTGTTGTAGTTGTGATCCCAGGTGTGCTCGATAATCCGGGTCTGTTCGTCGACGWCGTTTTCGACGGTGAGTTTCTGGACGTCGTCACGGAGCTGGACTTTATCGAGCAGGAGGGTGGTGGCGGCCGACTGGAGGCGCTGCTTCTTGGAGGGACGGGCGGCGTATACGGAGATGTTGCTGCCGTTGTTGTGCTTCTTGTTGGTKCCTCTCTYGGTGATCTTGTCAATAGCATAGCTGCTCTTGTTCTTGTTGTTCCTMTCTTTCGATGAGTTGGAAGCAGCTGATTTGACTGCTTGTTTCTTTGCCTTTTTGCTCGGCTTGTTGAGTACGCCTTGGAACTTGGAGGACGATGYGGCGACAGCTGTTGCCTTGGAAGACGATGGTTTGTATCTCAAGTTGAAATTGKTGTTCCCCATAAGGAACKGAAAGAGAGTTAGATTGCTTCCCCCAAAGGTCATAGAGGTATCTTTGATCATTGCATCTGTTGCTAGCTTAAAATCAGGAAGGAGGTTTCTTTTCCAGGCATTCATGTTCATGTTCATGTTCATGTGGATGCTGTTGCTGTTGCTGTTGAAGCACTGGAGGAGCTGCTGCTGCTGCTGCTGCTGCTTGGAGTACGAGTTGGTGTTCTTGTTCGCATCGATGTTTGGCAACGCTTTCGTGGCCATTGTCGTGTTCTGAATTTGCATTCCAGAAGCAAGGCCGTCCTCGATCTCGTCCTCGAATTCCATGGGACCCTCGTAGAGCTCGAGCTTAGTCTTGGGGAGGTATTGGTGCAGAAGATCGGAGAGCTCGCGGGATACYGAGGCCAAGAGGGGGAGGGGCTCGATGCTGCTGCTCGAACTTGCTGCCTTGTTGATCTCCTCGAGAAAGGGATGGGCCATACCGGCATCGGTGTAATGGTTCTCGGCGTTGAAAGCATCCGAGTGGCAAGAAGTAGCCTCGCTATCATCGTCTGGAAAGGTGAGGGTCGAGAAGGGAAGTAGCCCAAAGCCATCGTCGTCGTCGTCGTCGTCGTCGTCGAGCTTGTTGCTATTCTTATCTTCCTGGAAGAAGTGAACGTCCATTACTCCTGTAGGAGAATCGCTTCGGGATCGCTTAAGGGGAGGAAGAAGAAGAGGTGTGGMGGTGGAGTTGGCATCGTCATCACCGTCTTCGTCAAAATCGCAGTCACCAGGATTCTTGCTCTTGGGCTTGTTCTCGGTAGTCTTGCCGTTGATGTTCCTGATGCTATCGTTTGCAATGTCAATGGCCTTGGCAATGGCATTTCGGGTTGTGATCCCCTTGCTCTTGGTAGAGCCGCCTCCATTTCGAAAGAAGGGCAGCGTCATCTCCATGGTTCGGTTTCGAACTGCGTTTCGAACCCCGGAAGAAGAAAGTTGGTTGAGACGGTGCGAGTGGTTTTGGTTCGCACTGTTGTTGCCGAAGCAAATACCATTGGTAGTGGTGGTCGATTGGCGATTGTTCATTGCAGAGGATGGTTGCTCTATTGCACAGATTGGTACGGTCTCGTGTGGTAGAAAAATAGAAGAGTGGAGAGGGAAAATTGGATTGGATGCAGAACAGTACGTACTTAGTGTGTATTGCTTTGCTTGGCCGATTTCATTTCACTTGAATCGAGTTTCAAAAGTATGAGAACCAGGGATGGTTTTCTGTGCGAATTTTGGCAACAGTATTTGTTGTTCTTGGTGCACCTCTCTTACAGTATTGCGTTCCGATCCGGTGGCCGATCGTGTTGGCATCTCGCATTCTCATCCATATTGCATCGTAGATTACAGCAGTACCGTACCGAGCCAAACTTTGTTGAAGTTAAGTACGTACCGCATCGGTTGCTTCTTGGGAGAAAGTGTGATGTGAAGATTCGGTTGGCATGCTTCCGTTCAGCTTTGAGGAAGCGGGATACAGCAGAAACTTAATTGTGTTGTACTGGCATTTGATCTGCAATAGTATTAGGACAGGTGGGCTATTGTTGTGAAGACAATATTTACTCTTCAGACAGAACATTCTRGAATTCCATTTTTGGTCCTTTTCTATCGTTTGTCTCGATACCTACTATTAGTACSACAACAATTTTTACTCCCAAGACAATTGTATCCCCAGCAAGCTTCTCTGTTGCTCAGAACAGCTTCGTGCATGCTTCATCCACACTTACTATTACAGCTGACGCAAGAGAAAACAATTAGAGGCTTCTTTTGGTCTTACGACACTTTCTTTGAACACCATTGTGTCGTTGTCGTGCAGTGGAACCTAATGCAGTGGATAGTTAAGTGACTTGCGTGTTGAAGTTCCAAGAAACGATAAATGATTGGTGGCGTATATTTGCATCCGTGGTGTGTATCGTCGGTCGTTTGTTCGTGCGAATCATGTTTTCTTAACAAGGCTTGTTGAAGAAGTTAGGCTTCTCTGCCCTCCACAGAGATTACGGCTTCTTGGTTGTGCAGTGCATTGTGCATCCATCCCAAAACGGTACTCGTACTCGTAGTTTCATCACAATTTGTTGTTTCCATTATTTGAGTTTCCATTTTGTCGTTCAAGATCGCTGACCAATCCCTGTTCAGGACTATTGCCCCGGTTGACAGGGTGCTTTTTACTCGTACGACGTCACAAGATAAAAACAGAGATGATAATTCCAAATGCGTCCTAAACGTTCAAGCATAGCTTCAAAAAAAGCTTTGTTAGTTTAGTGGTAAAATATCTGCCTTCCAAGCAGATGTCCTGGGTTCGATTCCCAGACAAAGCAACGTCTGCATCGACCTTTTCTCAACGTCCATGTGTGACATTCTTTTGCCTCCCTCAATCGCATCATTTTGAGACCCAAACTAAACACCCACAACTCCAAAATCATTMTTTCAAATTGTTGCCTTTGGCTAGTGACAATAGAATAGAATGACACAGATTTTTTACTGGGACGTTCGGTATCAACGATTTTACCACGCTAGCCATGCTACCAGGCAATACTGTGGTGGTAGTGGGAATGGAAGCTTGCTGGCGCCCTAAAGAGAGTATAGAAAAGTACCCGGTGGTACTAGTTGAAGTTAATRCATCAGCTTAGAAGTTGGTGATTGAAGAGTTTTTCCAATAAAGAAGATGTCTCAAGTTAATAGATGGTGGCTATGCTTAAGTATGTTAGGCCTACAGAAGGAAAGGGGAATTAATTCTCAGAAGTCGATGAAAGCTCTCAAAAGATSATATCTTCACGACCTTCTTCAAGAGAATAAAAATTGTTCGCATAGTATTTGTSCATTGATCGTGTGCTCTTGCCTCAATATCCTTTCTAAAGTACGGTACTACTAATAACACTCGATTCCGTTCTGTTTTTCAAACACGAGGTAATCTCATCGCAACAAATTCTTGGATGCACATGGATTCTATAATTCGAAAAGGCGTTTGAATMATGTTAACAAAGTAGTCCAGCTAGAATGCAGTTTAGTCCTAGTGCTTCGGTTTTCCCATCAAGCTCCAGGTTCTTGCCTCCGTGATTTCCACGTCGACCAATTCTCCCTTGAGCTCTTCGAAATTCCCGTCGAAAAACACCTGTCGGCCCTGCCGCGTCCGACCCATGACCTGTCCGGACCCCCGAGGGTTTTTGTCCTCCACCAGGACCTCCACAGTCCTGCCAAGGTACCGCTTGCTCCGCTCCAGCCCGTGCTTCACCGCTAGCTCCTGGACGCGGGCGAGACGTTCCTTCTTGACGGCTTCGGGCACAACGTCATCACTCTCATCGGTCCACGTGGCAGCTTCCGTGTTGGGCCGGGGYGAGTATGCGAACGAGTTAAGGTTGTCGAACTTCACAGCCTCCATCAGATCCAGCGTTCGCTGGAAGGCTTCCTCTGTTTCTCCTGGGAATCCAACAATCACGTCCGCCGTGATGGCCGCATCGGGCGACGCAGCACGGATTTTATTGATGATTTTCATGTAGCTCTCGAAGCTGTATCCCCGCCGCATCCGCCTCAGAACGTCGTTATCACCTGCCTGGAAGGGCATGTGGAAGCACTCGCACAGGCTGTTGAGGGAGGCGACTGCATCGATGACGCGGTCTGAGAAGTACCGTGGATGGGAAGTCACATACCGGATCCTCGTAGGGGGGAGGTTGGCATCCAAGAAGTGCAAGAGATCGGCGAAGGACCGCTTCGGGACCATATCGCGTCCATAGGCATCGATATTTTGCCCCAGTAGCGTAATTTCTTTGTACCCGCGGTTTTCAACGAGATCCAGGCATTCTTGCAGGATGTTCTCCATCGAACGAGACTGTTCCATCCCGCGAGCTAAATCACAAGTGAGTAGGTAATGGAACGGAATGACACAAAGGAACACAAATTGAAGAGGAGAGGTCAGAAAATAAATACTTGGATGCGAACAGCGCAAAATCTGAGCAGCAATTCCTTCATCATAAATTACCAAATTTGACGAAGAAAACTTACTTGCGGGGACACTTTTCGATCATTAGAAGGATTGTTCAAGGTCAACATAGAAGTATTGTGTATCAATGTGAATAGAAATAGAGAAAGATAATCAGAMAACACTCGTCAGTTCCATGAATCTACTTCCGATATTCCTTCACCAGCCGCTGAAAAACGTWATGTTAGAGAAGGWTCAAAAGGATTTACTCACACACAATATGTGCAATGCTCGTTACAGCCGTAAATAACATTGACCCACGCTCGAACGGAGTGTCCGCGTATGGGCTTGGCCGAAAAGTCATCGTTTTCTGGAAGCTCGATCGATACAGRCGAAGCCGATTTCTGGGCCAAGCCACCGAGGGACGGTTCGGATGAACCAACCTGATCCGAATCATTGTTGAGAACAGTGTCTGTTGCCTTGCTGCTCCGATCTATTTCCACTGTTGTTGGTGTCGTCGTTGTCGTCGTAGCCCCTGCTGCCTTGTAATTGTCGGCGATGATMGTTGGKGCGGTAACCACTAGCTGATGGCCCCACTCGATTTGTTCCAGCACAGATCCCAGATAGGGAACRTATTGCGGGCCCAGTACCACGTCGATTTCCGGAATCTTTCGCAGCAGTGCCTTTCCTTCTTGCTGGGCGACACAACCTGTGACGATAAGCGCAAAGTTGCTGTCTTCAGAGCTTTTTTGCCGCTTCCGGGCACGGAACGGACCAAGCGCGTCGTAGAGCTTTTGTTCKGCGTGGTCACGGATGCTGCAGGTGTTGAARATGATGACGTCGGCRCGGTTGATTTCCTCCTTGCTGCTCCTATCAGAGACAGGCACTAGTCCCAGTTCGTCCTGCAAAATCCCCTCGAGCCGCTCGGAATCCGCAACATTCATCTGGCACCCATTGGTTTGAATCGCGTAAGTCCTTTGGTGTTGGTCCTCCTCCTTTTCTTTGGTTCCGCTTCGTCGTTCGAATTTTGGCACTGTGGGCATGACACCATGGCCCTTCARTTTGTTCCGCGGAATCAGAGCGTTCACACCGCTAAAGGATCCCAATTTTATGTCTTTGTCGTCGTTTTGTTTCTTGTCGTAAACCTTATGGATCATTTTGGGCAATACATTTGGTACGTACAATTCTTCCACACGAATGACGTGAACCTGGTTYGTCATAGAACTCGGGCCAACAATATGTACGTCACCGGCTTTTGGTTGCAACTCAACGAGCTTTTCCAGAATATCTAGCGGAATAAGAGACGCAAACGTCAATTCYGCGGAAGAGTTSTCGCTGTCTTCCTCCCCCGAAGGAATATCCACCCAACCGATTTTTCCGCCCTCATCCCGGGTCATAGAACACGCCGACAACTGTTTCGCTACATCCCCGAACGGATCTCGGCTCGTCGTGAGCACCACGATATCGTCGTCGTCATCGCCGGTGCTGGTGATTGTTTCCCCCGAACTCAGCTGCATGTACCAATCCAGGGCCAATTCAGCCGTTTCCTTTCGTTCTACCACCACGTGTCGAATGTAGAGTGACCTGACATTTGTGGAGTACTCCATATCTTTTTGAATTCGCGTGGAATACCATGGATCRGTCAGCTTGGGATTCGGGTATTGAGTGGTGGCTCCGGATTTCGCTGGCGGCGTTGATGCCACCATGCGCAGCTGGAACCCAGAAGACAGATTCGACGATTGMTGTTGTATTGGGTGGTGGTCTATGAACGAGAAGGCATTCACCAGAGAAATCGATGGGACCGCTGCTGCGACAGCTGCAATGGCCAGCGCCAAAGGCGTTCTCCAMATCGACATTTTCCMGTGGAGTCGAATATTTAAGTAGCGCCGTCTAATTTTGGTAGCCGAAGTCTCCTCTCTGAGTTCCTTTGCCTGTTTCTCTTGAGAACAATGTATGCTTTTTACTTTGTCGGATTTTGGGGAACGGCTGTCCTATGGTTGTTCTGCGAAACAATTCTGTTGCTCTTCTCTTGCTTTCCGAACTTTTCGATACGGTAATTCGACAAGAATAAAATAATTTTTTCGTTACCGTCTACTCGTACCGCATGGTACGTACCAGTACATACGTAGCGTCGGCAAGATGTGATGGGTGATGTGACTTTTTGGTTGGAAGACGGAAAAACGTTCGTCTAGACAAGGTGAATCATCATCACCATCATCATCATTCACTCATACGGGTATATGGACAGACGGAATAACATAGGATGAGGCTTTCACAGGTCATATGGATGGTATGTATAATATGGATACAGTAAGTGGGGGTGTCATTCTTTTTTTTTCAGGTTTATTCGCTCTCTCTCAAGTAAGTCCTACGAGTATTGTACCAGGTAGTGCAATGTATCGTATGTGGAACCATTGCCATTCCCCGTACTTCATCCATCCAACAGACAGATACGTAAAAGGCTTTATTTTTGCGAGAACGAAACCGAATTCGAGTGCCGCACTCAACGAAAGCACGCTACCATAGACTTATTCCAATTGTTGTTGACCCGGATCGACCCCGTATCACCTCTGTCTTTCGCTGTGCAATAGAACTTGAAGCATGTTCCCGTGATGAATCTCTGGTTGATTTTTCTCTCGCTGTTGGCGAGCGACGGAGCAAAGCCAAGGAAATCACTTTGTTTCGCCAAGCAACAAGGAAGATAAAGCGTTCGTCCCGTTGTTGTTTTTCGTTTTTGTTTTTATTTGTACGGTTCAGCAGCAGATCGTGGCGAGCGATGGAGTGCGGCGTTTGGAATCATCCATCGAGACCCCCCAAAAAGGGCCGAGCCAGCAAATGCACGAGACCGGACCGGAGGGCAAAGYTTGGGCCAAGCAGGTCGCAATTACGGATCGTTCTTGGTTCTAGAACCAGGGTCCGTCGCGGTTTCGCSGGAATCTGGAACACCCGTACTTGTTGCGCAGAAGCACGAACGGAGAATACAGCGGGGCTCTGCTGGATCCGGAACAAAGCCGGCTGTGRTTGGCGTTGGTCGCGCTTCGCTTCGCTTTGATTCCCCAAGCGCGGTGCCGTTCGCAACAACTCGTTCGGATCCCGGACGATTTCTGGGCATCGCAGAGCCGGTTGGCGAGGACGGAACACAAGAAAACCCACGAGGCAGCCCCGGGAACGCGGAAAAACACGAAACTGCCTGCGAACGCCATTGGAATCCGACGGTTTTGGCTCGTGCGTGCTTGCCCGGAGGATTCGCGCAGAAGCCAGCACTGTTGCATTGCAAGGCGTACAAATGCAATAGTAGTATGCTTGTAGTTTTTACTGTACTAGGTTATGATTCGCTACGCAGGTTTGTGTGCCCCCCCAAAAAAAGGGAACCTCTCGGCCCTCGCCCACCGGTGCACCGCGCTCTTTTTTCGGTCCCGCTGCCCGCTGCACCTATCGGATCGGTGGCTCGTCGTCSTCCTCCTCSTCGTCGTCCTCGTTCCGTTCCCGCTTGATCAGGATCTCGTCCACGATCCCAAAGTCCCTCGCCTGGTCCGCCGTCATGAAGGTGTCGCGGTCCATGACGGCCTCGACCTCCTTGAGGAGCTCGACCGGATCGGTGGTCCCGACGGGGGCGGCGCCGGCGTCGGGGTCCTGCTGCTGCTGCTTCCGCCGGTGGTCCCTCCCCTTGGCCGTGTGGTAGACGTAGAGGTCGTTGAGACGGGACCGCAGCCGCAGGAGTTCCTGGGCCCGGATCTGAATGTCCGAGGCCATCCCCTGGGCCCCCCCGCTGGGCTGGTGCAGCATGATGGTGGCGTTGGGAAGGGCGCAGCGGCAGCCCCTGGACCCGCCGGCCAGGAGGAGGGAGCCCATCGAGGCGGCCTGGCCCATGGCGATGGTGTGGACCTTGGGCCGGATGTACTGCATCGTGTCGTACATGGCCATCCCGGCGGTGACGCTCCCCCCCGGGCTGTTGATGTACATGTAGAGGGGCGAGTCGGGGTCCTCCGCCTCCAGAAAGAGGAGCTGGGCCGTCACCACCGAGGCCATCTGGTCCGTGACCTCGCCGTGGACGCAGACGATGCGCTCCCGGAGCAGCCGGGAATAGATGTCGAAGGACCGCTCCCCGGTGGCCCCGCTCTCCAGCACGACGGGGATGGTGTACGAACGGTGCTGCCGCAACCGCGAGGGGAAGGGGGGTCGCATTGCCGTTGTTCTCGTTGTTGCTGTTCTTGCTGCTGCTGCTGCTACTGCGGTTCTTGCGGCTGCTGTCGTTGTTCGGAAGAGCATGGTGCCTCGTGATTATAGCGCAGTGCTGTCGGTAGTGGGGATTCTTTGTGGTTGTTGCGAAGTTTGTTCTGGTGCGACCTACGGTAGGATTGTTTTGGGAAGCGAGGGATGCTGGAACCTGTCTGTCTCTATCGTCAMCTTGCGCACTCGTTTGATGGTGATTGCSAGGGTTGATTCAAACATACCGGTACATCACCGTCTTGATTGAACGAATCGAATCGAATCGATCGATCGAAGAAGTCATCACCAAAATCTATCTATTGAATCGGAGCCGATATCTTCGAAAACTGTTCTCGAGAAAAAGAATTCCAGCACGCTCCCGSCCGGCCGGCATGTACGGTATGTTCCGACACGATGCGACACACATTCTGTCCGTATTCCGTTACAGTACCGCGTTACACGTAGTAGTTGATAGTAGTTGATTCGACTTGCGTGATTGAAATTATTTCGTGAATGAGGAATACAGGCAGAAAGATATTAGATACATACTGTACGTACCATACCATGATATAGATCATATGAATACTTTTGTGGCGACGGAGGTTTTGTTTTTGATTTTCATGAGCTGAGGAGTGAAGACAAAAAGACATTCAAGATTCAAACTGATTCTCTTGGCCAATCGAAATTAGAACAAGATCCACCTTGTGTAGTATTGTACGGTACTACTAATAGTACCGGTACATAATGTACCCTGCTCGAATCGGTATTCGTCGGTGTACCGGTAGATCAACAACAAGTTCCGAATAGATCGGCCTCCCACACAGCATTTTACCAACGAACAAGAACCAAGCACGACCAAACAACGAGGTGGCAAACAGCGCATGCGCCAGAGGCACCGAAAAGCAGCACATTTGCGAAAAGGCAACCCCAACAAGACGACCAAAACGGCAACGGCAACGGCAACGGCAACGGCAACGGCAACGACAACGGCAACGGCAAAGGCAACGGCAAGGGAAACAAAAGCAGAACGCACCATGTCGTTCGATTACGACGAGGCCGATCCTTCTCCCGCCGGCGACGAAAGCGCCGGGAATCCCGTGGACCGCAACGGCAGCGACAGGGGCAGGTGCTCTCCGAGCGGAACAAGCCGCGCGGGCAGGTGGATCGAGGTCCTCCTGTGCTTCCTCCCGGTGCCCGCCGGAATCGCCCTGGAGTTCGGGACGCCCCACCAGCGGCCCATGCCCGTGGAGCAGACCACGACGGAGGACGGCGATTCGATCACCATCGAGTCGTACCTCTTTGGCTTTCCCAGGAGAGACGAGACGGTCTCGCCGCCCCTCATGTTCGCTCTGGCGATCGCTGTTCCCTTTCTGCTGCAGGTGGGCCTCATAGCGGTGCTCCAGAAGARGGGGGCTTCCACCCTCCGGAGGGACGCCCTCCACAAGACCTTGTGCGTCTATTTCATGGCCACCGGCTGGACCCAGACGCTGACGAACCTCGCCAAGCTGTACGTGGGGTACCTCCGGCCCGTCTTTTTCGAGTACTGCCAGCCCGACGGGGACTACGGGGAGTGCACCGACGAGAGCGGTGCGCACAAGGGAAGGGTCAGCTTTCCGTCGGGCCACGCGAGCATGAGCGTCTGTGGGCTCCTCCTCTTCTCCCTCTTCCTCGAGGACACCCTGGGACTGTCGGCCTGGGAGCGAGGTCTCGGGGGAGGCCGGCGGTCCGGCCAGTCCCCGGAGGCCTCTCCCTGGACGAGGCTCGGATCGGTGGCCTGCTTTTCGCCCATGCTGCTGGCGATTTTCATTGGTGAGTGGGACACGGCATGGCATGGCATGGCATGGCATGACCGGATCGGACCGGGGCGTGTTCGACGGGACGAGAGGGGTGGGATGTCCTCTGGTTTGTTTGCGTGTTTGGTGTTGTTGCATTTTTGTTTTGTTTTGTTTCGTTTCGCGGAATGGACCCGCGGGCGGAACAGATGCCACAAGTCGTGCATCGGTTTTCCCATCTCTGGTTTTGCGACCAATCAAATCACATCGATCTTCCATTCTCGAAAATCTCTCATTGTGCCTCGTTTCTGAAATTGCTCGCACTATCCCTCTATTGATTGATTGATCGATCGATCGTCGATKGGTGATACACACCAAACCAATGAAATGGAATGGAATGCAACACCTTCCAACACAAACGGAAACGATGGCAATGCAGCCGTGTCGAGGGTCCACGACAATTTCCATCACCCCGCCGACGTCGTAGGCGGGGCTTTGCTAGGTGGATCCATTGCCTCGCTCATGTTTGGAATTTGGTACGTGCTCGATCTSTTGTTGCGATTATTTGTAGGCCGGGTTGGTCGCRATTGCGATTGCGATGCAACAACAACAACAACGGCAATGCATCCGGTGCAATGTTTGCCGCCATTCGGCAGGAATTCCCCCACTCACCCATGTGGTTCGGTGTTTTTGTTGCCCTCGATGCTTTGCCTGCGCAAYGGCTATGAACRAATCCCGGTGCAGGTTTCGATAGGGGATGGCGGTGCACACRGGKTGCGCTTCGTCACTGCTGCGCGGCGATGCTGTGCTTGGTGGCTGTGCCGCGCTCGGACGCGATGCCCGCGGGTCTCGAGAGAGCCTTGTTTCGTACTCTGCTTCCGTGTCCCATGCCGTATGGTTCGTCCGAATACTACTAATGAASAAACAATAATATAATAAAAAATAAAGCAGTTGCAGCAATGCCAATCTCCATTCCCGACACAACACCCAAAAYGGCGCATCCTCTAGAMGCAAAACGCTGGCGCCGGACMGAGAGAAYCCTGCGAGACCGACACCGCGTGGCAAATGCACCCGCGGCTCGATCGGTCGAAGGGACGCCAATGGTTTCCCTTTCGTGCGAAACGCGGCCTTCGCACGCGGCTCTCCCCGGCCGGCGACGAATGGCCCCGGCTGCAGACACTTTCTGTCGACGTCTACCGGCACCTACTACAGTAGTTCTGCCATTCACCAACAGGGATTGCACCGCCCTTTGGTTGGGTTCCTACCCCCGGAACAAAGAATGGTTCGGCATGGACGAAACGATGCCACCGCACCCACAGGGGCACACGGAACGGACAGCGTTCCATTCTTCCGGGAGAGGGCAGTCGCACCGACGCCTCGGACAACAACCGCGGAGGCACAAACGCAGCGGGCTTTCGCTCGAGGCCCCGCCAGGGATAGGTGTTGTTGCGCCGAATCCCAACAAGCACTCGAAGACGAACGAACGGCCTTTCGAGCAACCCGCGGTTCGGTTGTTTTTCCTGCAACGACGAGCGCGTGGCGGCTGCGAAGCGGCATCGCGGCACAGGTACGGTACGGTACCGTACCGTACGATGCAGCCGTGTTTGGATTCCCTGGTCGATCCGGTCGATTGTTTTCGCCCCTGAAACCCGGCCCTGTTCCCACGCTACAAACACATCCAG